CCCCAAAACCCCAAAACCCCAAAACCCCTCCATCAAACATATTATTAAATATTTTTAAAATGACATCTATCACATCAATAATACTAAATCCTTTCGCTTCTAGTACAAAACCACTCAATTGCTCACTGTAAGCGGTACTTAATCTTCAGAGCTTCAAAGAAGTCAAGATGGTTGTTTTGATGATCAAAGGGGATTAAATGGTTTGGAGGTGAACAAGGGAGATATCGGAGAAGACAGGTTCGGCAAGTAATAGAAAATAACCAAAACCAAGAGGAAGAAGAAAAAGATAAAGGTATTGAACAGGGAGAAGGTATGTTTGATATTATCTTTCTAGTTAATGAAGAAAAGGAAGAATTTCAATCAAGTAAATCTCAATCAAGTAAATTTCAAATCTTAAGAAAATATCATAAGAAAAATGAGCCAGTTGTACCTAAAATACCAGTAAAACAAGAGAACGAAGACGATACTAATGAAAACAGCATGAATCAAGAGATTTTAAACCCCATAGAATTTCAACAAAACAACGAAGAGAAAGAACTCCTCATATCAACATGTAAGCGTAGACTTAAACGCTTATCTAAATACACCAACAAAATCGATATCAACGAAGGTACTAAAATATTTGAAAACATATAAATTCACCTGATCCTCAAAAGTACACCTCTGCATGATCTCCATCTCTACCAAACCCCTCAATATAGACCTATCAGATCTCTCTATCAAGCAACTAGAAGACTACAGCTCAGACCTAAAGACCCTCCTTCTCGAAGACTGATGCAAACTAGAGCCTGAAGACCAAAATTTACTGGTTGTTCATGAAGAGGATAAATAAAATTATCTTAAGTAAAAAGAGAGCTTATTTGTAGAAGTGGAGCAGGAAGACCCTGAGTTTGAAGATATGGAGATAATCGCTCCATTCAGAGCTAGTTATGACCAGTTTGGAAACAAACAGTGGCGAATGCCAGAGTATGATGCAGGGGAAGAAGGGGGTTTATGGTTGAGTTTATGTGGGGTTGGTAGAGAGGGTTTACAATATTTCAGTGAAAGGAAAGTTATTGTTCATGTAGGATACCTGAATGGCTAAGAGAGATACTCAGAATAAACATGTACAATTGAAAGATTAGAGGACAGAAATTTGAGATGTTACCTCCTCCTTTTGCATTTAAGATGACAAACATTGATTTTTCAAAAGCAAGGATTCATTTGATATTTGGTAAATAAGATATAATTTATTATCTTTATTTTAAAGAGTGTGAATTCGAGAAGTTAAAAATTTGTATATACTGCGGCAATAGAAAAAGCTGATAAAGATATCAGTACTATACTGATATAGCTTTTATAAATTACAAAAAATGCCAATATTTTAGTCATAGTAACTCTAGCTCTCTTTCTTGTGAGTTAAGAAAGAAATGTTCATAAGATCTTTTAAATCTATAAAGAATGATTGTTTTATGGCTTTACTGCTGACTCCTCTTTGGCAAGTTCTTCACTTCTTTTGTTCGGTTACAAAGGCAAATGCTTCCTTTAGAAAATTTTATCTTAGTCTATCAGCTAGGGTAGATTATCTTACCGATCTGATAGCTTCATAGTAATGTAACTATCAATATCTTACCAGATTTTATTCTTCAACTATTTATCATAAAGCAATCTGAAATTTAACGTGGAATAGAATCAATTTTACAAACTTGAGTCACCAAGGAAATCAAATCTCTAGGATTCAAGAAATGTATTTTTCCTGTAATCACTGAACAAAATATTAAGAATAAAACAATAATTACCCCAGCAGACAGCTTGAGGCCTCTATATGGAGTATCCTTTGAAGAGTGAAAATTTAATGAGTCACAAGAGTAAGTCGGTTTTTATCTTTACTTACAGTCTAGATATGATAAGGCTGACCAAATCGGACTCCTCCTCAACTGTGAAGGCCTTCCTTCCCGATCACCAAGTGGCGACCCTCAACAAGTCGGAGGAGGGATCTCCAGCATCACTTTCAAGAACAACGGATTCTCAGAAGTAGAAATGGCCAAGCTCAAAGTGTACTTGTGTTATGCAGAGAACCTAATGATTTATGAAGAAAACTAAAACTACTCCAAAGGTTTTTCAATATCTCCCCACTCAATTGGGGTTTTGGGGTTTTGGGGTTTTGGGGTTTTGGGG